TTGGTTTTTTTTGTTTGTTTGTTTGTTTGTTTGTTTTTAACGTTAAAATTTTCCTCAATAGGATCTCTTTGTAACAATGTAAGAGCTTTGTCTAAGTCTGTGGGAAGGGAGAGCCTTTGCTCAGCGTGAAAGGTAATAGATTAGCGATGTTGATAGATGAAGTCCTCTACTTATCCTTAGCAACGAAAATGACAGGATAAGCTTCCCAAACTAGGTCCCTAGGTGCGTCTCTACTGGGTCTGATAAACGTTAAGTGCCTTACCTCTCGCATGAATTGGGTATATGTCACACAATTCTCTAACAGGAGATTTATTTCACATTGAATGGACTGTTAAATAATAGCCTTATACATGAAACTATTGGGAGGCTTTTCAATGGAATTGGAATTTTTAGTAGTTTCAGATGTCTGGGTTATAGCTAAACTTTGAACTTAATTTTTAAGTATCACATTGCCTTAGATTCGGGTTTTAGTCAAGCAAGTTTTGATGAGAAAAAACAGCAAGGTTTGATTTGAAAAAGAAAATAAAATGTAGTGTATCAAAAATCTTTGGAAAGGAAATAAAACAGCCTAGGAATTATTGTTTTAAATGGTTTGATGCAAAATATGTCTTGAAATTTGTTGGATCATTTTAAAAAATCTTTATTTACTTAAAAATGTTTTTTCTAAAGACTTCCTATCAGAACATATATAGGTATCTGAATACAATTATTAGTATTACCAAAACAGGTGCAGCCTTTGAGAATTTCATTAAAGAAAAATTCATGTCAGAGTAGATGATATCCTGACATATTATTGGGAAAACTTCAAAAAGTCGTGAAGTATACGCTTCAGGAATACAATTTGAACTTGGATATCAAACACACTGATGTACAAGTTATGCCTTATACATAGCTCACCTTCAAAGATACTAGGGGAGAATAACAAACCTGTCAATCTGTCATGAAAGACACATTGAACACACTGAATACAGCTAGGTATCTATAGATAGGATAAAAATCTATCAAAACTTGAACATTCTAAGAAATGTCATTAGCAAAACCAAACAGAAGTAAAGTTCTTAGTAAAAAGACGTTCCAACTAGGAAACTACTAAATTAAAATGTTAATTCAAAATTGGATATTTTACCTGAATTTGCAGCAGATATTTTGCCAATATTATCAGTTTCACTCCTTTTAAATATATGGAAAGTATATAGTGGTAGTTTGCAAAGAATAGCAACAACAAAAGCAGTTTCTGGGTTGATCCTGTGCTAATGATGGGAGATATTCTAAAATGCAATTATGAACATCTTTGGGTCCACATAATCACTTCCAGATGTCATCAAATTCATATGTGAGCATTCAGAGACTTGGTTTACCCTAATGTTTTAGATGTTTGTTTACTATGTATACCTTCTGTGAACTAATACCAGATTTGCATACTTTACATATTTTGCTAAGTCTTTAGAGGCATTTTAAAAGTGTTCACTGTATCCCGTGAGTCCATGCCACTTTGCAATATAATCTAATCTCTGATATTCCTATGATAAATTTCATCAGTGGATACATATACATATTTATTACCATAAAATGTTTAGGTATAATAGTGAAATGAAAGTTCAATTTTTCTAAATGAATTTTCTTAATCACTAAAGTTGTCTCTTTCCCTCATCCAAAAATGGGTATTTCAAAAAGATAATTCAGTAAAAATGTCTGTTTTCATTGATTATATGGTAGAAGTATATTTTTGAAATATAAATGAGTCACATTAAAATACATCCTTTAGACTCTATATAAAGTGTCTAAATTTTGAAACTGAGAGGTTGTGACTGAAGAAAACAGGTTATCTTGTAGATACCTAATTATTATAGAATCAATTCTGAAATATCATTCTAATGGTGGCTTAGAATGCAGTACTGGCATTTTTAATTTGATCTTTTTTTGATAATCTTCATAAGCCATAAAGAGAAAAAAGCCTTTTCATCATAAACAATGCAGCTTTACAAATGTTCTAGATTTCTGGAGTTAACTAATACACTCAAATCTGTAGCTTGCAAGCACATGAAATCTCAATGGACTACAACCTTAAACTATTGTAAAGCAACATTGAAAATGTGAAAGCAAAATTAGAGAAATTAAGTGCTTAAAATATTACTTTGCATACTAGACTTATATACTAGACACACTACAGCCTTTGCTTTCATCATCAGTTGAATCCTGATATACCTAATATATACATAGAGCCTTCAGTACCATGCATTCCCATTTTACTTAGCAACACATTTAAACAATTCTGTGTTCCCCTGTAGAATCTAGGCAGGATTCAATGGCAGTATAACCAGCTATATTTTCTTCCAATTCTTTAGTAATATGCAAATGATTTGTTTTATATAAATACTTTCTTGAACCATTCTACTTGTGCTTTTTTAATGAAACAAATTCTCCTCTTGTAACCAGAAGTCTGCTATAAACGTAAGTCACCTGGGAGCCTGGCCAAAGTCTGAAGCAGCACAGCTGAAGGGTACAGCCATTTCACAGGGTCCTCTCAGAGAGTATTTGGTTTGCTTTCCTAACTTTCTAAAAATAGTAGATTACACAGGCTACCTCCATCTCATGGCTCAAGAACTCAAAAAAGGCTGGACTACAGATTTCAGTAATACATAGAGCACATTTTATTGAAGAAGCCAGGATATTACAAGTCTTCTAAATTCCTTCCGTTTACTTTCTGAGACAACGCAAGTGATCTAGCAGTTACTGGCACGGAACTCTCATAACGCTCCCAAATTTCAAAACTTTAAACATGAGTCAGACTGTCACTTTTACTGGTTTAAAATCTATTTTTGATCTATTTATACCACAAAATCTAATACAGCAAGACAATATTATATAGAATTCTAAATACTGTATAATCACATAATAGGTTGTATTTTAAACCATGGGTACTTAAATTGCACATTCCAAATTGCTTTTAATTAATTCTAAGCATGTTATTTCACTAACATTTCAGGAGTTATTTTCCTGGGTATGAAGTTCCAACATTAAAAATAATTGTGTCTATTTTTTTACTCTTAATAAAGTATTTTACATTTTAGATACTAGGAAACTGTTTTCTTAAGACAAAGGAAAAGGAGAGCTTACACTACTTGATTGCTATAATGATTCATTTTATAAATACATTTGAAATCTTCAAATAGTTTTTTTTTTTTTTTTTAAGTCCTCAATGCGGCAGTTGAGTCTTAACCACATAGCATGTCATTAAGCAACACTGCTGCTTTACTCAAAGGGGAACTGTTCTGTGGCCACAAGTGAGCAGCAACTAAAAAAATATTTTGAGATGGAAAAATAGCAACTGAATATTAATGTTTCACAACGTTTCCAAATGCCATGGAGGGAGAACTTCTGTTAAACCCCTAACAGGGTCACAACCAAATTTAACGTCTTAGTTTTCCAGCTACCAGGGAAGTATCAATTGTCTGTAAGATTAAAAATTACATTTATTAGTAACTGGCTCAAAACAGAGTTGCCTATCTACACAGTTGGTTACTGACAAGAGCAATTAAGTACCCTGTCCCTCATTTTAAGGGTCTCAGTCTAATTACGCCGAAATTCAGTCAGCACGAATTTAGGAACACACATCCACAAAGGCACAACCACTGTGCCCTTCATCAGTGCCTTTCAGAGGATAGAGGAGGAAGTCCCAACGGTAAGGTACAACTAACTGCTGACTGATCTCTGAGACTATGACAGTGACAATAACTTAATATTGTAAGGTATTTTCTGGTTATGAATACATTCTTTTCATTACACTTGAAAATGATATCATTGAAATCTGTGGCAAAAACTTTAGTGAGCAGTCCAAAGTAGATCAAGGTGCAATCAGTTGAAACAGTTAATTCTTAGCTCACCATGTTACTTGCAAAAGCATTATTTTTATGCCTCTATTATTATTTTAAAAAATAAAACAAGATGGATCTCTTAAGACTTTCACTTCTCTCTGTATGTAGATGTGATAGTGATCATTCCTCACAGTTTCAAGGAATTACCCTGAGGCATTTGTATTCAAAAGTAATTTAATTAAACCTGATAAGTTTAGAAAACCCAAGACACACTTCTATTCTTGACCTTGCATCACAAAGTAAAGACACATATAGTATCTTTTAAAACACCTAATTTCAAACCTGATACCTACATTGTAAGTCCAATGACATTCTTGAATGTCAAGAAATGCTAAAGTAAATCTTCTAGTGACCTGCTCACAAAGCTAACTTTAACAATTCTAGTTGATACTGTTCTAAATTAAAAAAGACTAATCACAATCTAACAGAAAATAAACTGCTTATTTCACACCAGAATTTCAGAGAATGAAAAATCTAATAAATAATAGCAGTGATAAGTTTCTTAATTTATGAAACTCACACTGAACAAAGTTTGTGCTCCAAATAAGGTACTGTAGCAGCAGTACAAGACTTCACTTTGATTTATGTGTTTCACAAAATGCATGGCTTCTGCCCTTAAAATAATAAGCCCACAAAATAAAAATGACACTCCAAAATGTCAAAATATTAAGAGTAAAAATCATAAGATTTTTTGCTGTTCTCTTATAACAATACAGCACCTTAACCAAAATAAAAAACAAGGACAAAACCATCTTCATTCAGCTACTGTCACAGCCTTGTACATAAGATAGGTATATGTTAAATGTAAACACGACCAAATTTACCACTCCCAAGCTGACATTAACTCTGCTATTACTACATAAAAAATTATAATTACGTCAATAGTTTCTGCTCTAGGGAAAAAAAATGTCATTAAAGGAATGATGAGTTATTCACAACAAAGTTTGTCTAGACTTGGTTCTGTCATAACTCATAAAGTTCTCCAGCCCGACATCATCAATAACAACATACTGGATAACTGAACTACTAACAAAGCAATCCACAATTCCAAACTCAGAGGACTGTATGTCCACATCACCTTTATTCAATTATGCAGATCCTTAAAATAATATAATATTTACTCACTTTCAATGAATCAAAGCAGGCGATTACTCGTCCATTTTCAACTTGGCAGCTTTTCGAAGGATGTGCAAATTTACATTCCGTGTCTGGCCGTGAGCAAGTCCCCCTTTGAAACTCTCTACATACTTCCAGTGTTAGCCATTTTGTGTCCCGAATTGGTGTGACATTAACAGCCATGTTTAGATTTTACAGGTAGTTAAATGTTTCAGTGAAACCAACAAACCCAACCCCCCCAAAAAAAACCAAAAAAAGATAAACTGATAAAACTGTAAAATGATGAAAATGTCCCCTCCAAAATACTTTTCCCCTACTCCCTGCTTTTAAAAGTACATGGAAAATTGTATTGTCAATATCAAGGAAAAGATCTCCCACTAGAAATTCACAGCATGAAACTGTTAATTCAAAGAGCTTTTGGTTTTTAGAGAAATACAAGAATTATAAGTAGATGAATGTTTAAAAGTAGGGCCTGGAATCAGCCTTGTGCTCTCAGTAACCCCTTCCCAGTGCCAATTTGGAGCCCAAAATGCAAGCATGAAAACGTGGCAGACCCTCTGACACCAAATTTCCAAGCTGCTTTCAGCAAGTTGTCTGAAAGGGAATCTCCTCACAGCTGAATTTGCAATGGAGTTTGGTGGTGCAATCGGTATTGATTAGTTTGGCATAGACAGATGCAGCAGTTTAGAGCAAAATCGAGAAAATGATTTTGTTTTCCTCCTTGATTTCCTGGCAGAAGATATCTTACTTTTTTCAGCAAACTTTTCTCTTAAAACTAAAGCAGCCTAGGGCAATGCCAGATACTTAGAGCTTTTCTCTTGATTATAAGTAGAAATGAGGGTGTCTGGGCTAGAGGTGGAGGGTGGATGTGCTGTCGTCACAGTCTAGCTGGCAGCAAGCAAGGCAAAAGCAGAGACTGCTCTAGAAGCGGTTCCAAGCAGCAGAGACGTCAGGAAAGGCACTTCTTAGTACCAACCTGTAGAGAAAAGAGATAGGTTAAGATTTACTAAGTAGCACTTCACAGATGTCCTACAGTATCACAACCATGCCATGTGATACCAGACTAAGTAATGTTCAAAATCAGCCGCTCTCTTTCCCTCTCTCTCCCACACAGACACACACAAAAAAAAATACTTACAGTGAGACACATTGCAGCCAGCCATCGTAGATTATTAAAAAAGGGGGTCGTTTCCCCTTGTGGAGCAATGCATGATAGAGAGATAACCAATCACAGATAGTGTTGTAGCAATATTCTGGGCAGAAAGCCAATAGTGTGGGTTGTCTTATGAAAGGTCGTGCCTGTCAGACGTTCATTACTATGCTATAAGCACAGAAAATGTCCATCAGATGTGACTTATTCCACTGCAAGAGGACGAGCATGTGGGTTTTGAATTTACCCAACATGCAGTTAGTGGACTAAACCATGTTAGTTTCAAAACAGCTCCTAACACAAGTCAAAGCACTTGAAGATCAACACCAGCAAATAAAATGCAAGGTTTAAAATTTGCAGCTGACTTCCAAGCTGCTTTTCCTCAGGCTCAGCACAGGGACCGGCACTGAACAGCCTGCTCCTGCTGTCCTGACACGTGAATAAAAAGGAAAGGGGTGTTTACAAATGGTACATTCTCCTGACCTATCCAATTCACTTCCTTCTAAAGCGCAAGTCCTGCCCCTCCACTGAAAGCAGCACTCATACTGTAAAACTATTCCATTCAGCCAGCAGACACTTTGTCAATATATCACAGGCAGGCGAGATATGAACAAAAGCATCCTTTATTCGAACATTTTTAAAGCAGAAGCTGAGGTCATGAGGGGAAAATAAGGAGTGCAGTGTTGTCAGTGTGTCTGGTAAATCTGAAGTCAACCTCATGGGAGAAAGTGATTCCATCGCAGAAACATTAAATATTAAGTGAGCAATTTGATTTGAGCAGTGTGGTGTACTTTGGAAGTTCAATTCCAAATAAAGCTAGAAGCTAGGGGAGGAGGGACACCCAACTGTCCAGTAACCCATTAACTCAGCATGGTAAAACTACTTACTCCTTAGAGGAGGGCATCTTTGTATTTAACAACTCATTGTCTCTTTTAAGCAGGATGGAAAACTTTCAGAAAATATTTACTAGCTGAGGGGAAAAAAAATGACATTTTTTTTTTCCTTTTAAATGTTGCCAGTGAAGAAGATACAGCTTTAGAAATTAAGTTTTACATTTCAAGGAGACAGAACCACTGTATAACATCATTAAATTAATTACATCTTCATGGCCCAAATGAGTCGACTGGCATTTGGCATCTTAATAATTTTGAAAATTAGAATATAGAACATGACTATATATATATATATATATATACCCCTGAATAATAAAATTATACTTTTTTTCTTCTAATACTATAATTCTCTGAGTATTTTTGTTTTGAGTGATTTTTGTTTCATTTTGTTTTATTTGTAACACTAAGGAATGAACACATGGCCTTCACACTGAGCCCTGTCCCTGTCCTTTTTAAAAATCTTTATGTAAAACAGTCAGTCGCATTAAGGTACCGGGCCTGTATTCAGTCTCCTGGAGTGCCGTGATTTTGGGGGCATCAATACTATATAATTTGAGGGAGCTGGGGATTTAGCTCAGTGGCATAAGCACCTGCCTTGCAAGCAGGCAGTCCTGAGTTCAATTCCCGGTACCGATAAAAAGGAAAAAGACAAAAAAAAAAAAAAAAAAAAAAAAGAAAAGAAAAAAAAATACTATATAATGTGTAACATGAATTTAAAAAACTATTTTCTGAAACTATTTGGAGAACATTACAGTTAAAACTACAACTTTTGATAGACCAAATGGACCAGCTCTTCCAAGAAATGTTTGTTTTCAAAAATGTTTTTAGGTGTAATGCTTGCTTACATAAAAATCCAATTAGACTCAAAAACTCAAAAGTTGATTCTACCTTCCTGAATTTGTTCTGCATTCAGAATTTTCTCAGCAACTTTAATGGCCTGACCATGCACCATATGTATGGCTTTAGTCTTCCTCTCTAGAATCTCAAAATATCATACCTGTAATAGTTTACCTCCCTTAAAGCAATATAAAACACCATTTCCTCCAAGAAACTGCCAAGAGCCATTTCTTCCATCTCCAACAGTTACATATAAATACTGCCATCTCTAAATTACCTTCGTATGTATGCCCTACACAGCACATTATTTCCTACTCGGTCTCATCTACTAGCAGAGGCAATACTACTCATTAGCAACCTCAGTGCCTAGCACACTGATAGGAAAACAGATGGAGTTCTTCTATAAGTATTAGTATGTTAAATCATCAGTTACTATCTCAGGAGGATTGGAGTTATTTCTGGGGCTGAAAAGCACACATATACAAACATATTCATAAAAAACACATTATGGACATATTATATTAACACACTTGAAAACACACAGAGTCACACAGATCACTACGTCTATACATTACAAGTGTGCCAAGGTCATTTTGTGACCAACTGTCGGATTCTCCCTCTGGCCTTGGACAGCTCCCCCTTTCATTCCACATGGCAACTTTTCCAAATTTTTGTCACTCCCAAATCCTTTCTCCGTGTTTTTCTTACTATCTATAAAAGAAGATCTTAAGTCACAAATACTTCATAAACAAACCATAGTCCCTTGGCATGAATCTTCCCTGACCTTCCCCTTCATTCATCTTGGTTAAGCTTCTCCAAGCTTCCTCCCACCTTGACTTGCTCCTTCTCCAGGCTTCTTTCTTTTTCCACTCTTTCTATACGTACATATCCTGTCTTTTCAGTAGTTTTTTTTTTTTTTTTTCCCCTCAGTCTTTAAATATACTGGAGTAACTCCAAAGTGGAGAGGGTGTCATGGGACCCCGCCCTGGTGATATCCTTCTCAACCCAAAGCTCTTACTCTGTCACCTCCAGTATCTAAAGTGTCACATTATATGTGCTATTTCTCTGCTTCTTCCTCTCCCCTTTACTTGTGAGTCTGTATCAGTTTGACATCTATGGCCACCTCTTTACTGCCCAGTGAAGTTGACAATGATCTAAGAGCCAAATCCAAAGATTATGTTTACTCCATCTTTCCCTGACCTCTAACACCATTGCCACTCCCTTACTGGAACCTTTCCCTTTGACGTATTTTACCCTTTGACTTCTGCCTATGCTGTACTTCTTGTATACTTACAGAGACAAACAACTGAAGGGTCTCTGCATATACACTGTTGCTGTGAGCTCCTGAGACTTGCTACATGCTAGCCCTTTGTTTGACATGACACATAATTCCTCACCCCTGCAACCTGGCAAAATCCCTTCTTATTTAAACTGTTATGCAGGCATTGCTTTCTCTGTAAAGTTGGACCAACAATGCTACACATTAATCTGTATCAGAATATCTTCCATACGCAGCAATTACATTTACTATTTTGTGTCTCTTCCTATTTCCTTCTCTGAGATTATAAACTCTCTGACAACAACATATACCCTAATGTTCCACTGCCCAGATCCTGGAACATAACAGACTTTTTTAAATGTTTGGGAAATGAATAAACTTTGTTCATAATAAAAGGAATAAACATAAATACAAGAATGTGTTCCCAGTTAAAGGAAATGTTTAAACTTGATACATGAAGTCCAAATCGTATGAGAAAGGAAAATGGTATCATTAGAAATGTCTGTATTACTTCATGATTCTGTCTAAATAAAACAAAAATAATTTCTAAAGTGAATTTTCTTTCTTTCTGCCCTACTACAGGCTACTTGAGGGTGCCATTCAAATATAAAATATACTTTATTAAAATTCTTACAAACTAGTACTTTATTTTCTATAGGAGAGCAACTCCACCTACTTCAAAGGTGTGTTACTGAAAGACATACATTGGTATGCTGATAACATTATTCAATTGTGAAGACTACATATATAAATGGTAATATACTTGAAATTAAGCATAGACAGTAATTAAAATAGACACTTTTGGTTAAAAACTCAAATTATATCACATAAATTAATGAGTCTAAATTTATATTATACCTTACATTGTTTCTCTTTATTCTAAAAGAATTTCAAGAAAGATCAAAGATTTTTATAACTGTTTTAGCAAATTAAGATATCCTAGGATTTGTACCAATACTGAATTCATTTCTTCAACTAGTGGTAGGGATGAATTCTGCAATCAGAAAAGATGTTCAAGTGTTGGGTAATATACAGACTGTAAGAATTTTTGCACATATTCTCTAAGAATAAGTTTCATTTTGAAATAATTACAGAAGGAAAATTTCTACTATATAGTATATTTTAATATACAACAACTTCTCTAAACAATAACAAAAGATTGAGGAATTTAACAGTGAAAATTAGATTTTTTGAAACCTGTATAAAAACAAGCTCTCGGGGCTGGGGATTTAGCTCAGCGGCATAAGTGCCTGCCTTACAAGCGTGTAGTCATGAGTTCGATCCCTGGTACCAGTAAAAAAAAAAAAAAAAAAAAACTCTCTTTACCTTACTGACTAAACTCCAAATTTCATGCAGTTCCTCCTCTGATGTATCATATTCTAAAGACATGCTTATTATGCTAAAAGAACTATGAGTGAATTTTTTCTTGAGTGATGTCAGAAGTCACACAAATACTCTATTTTCCTTCTAGTTCCCTAGAACTAGAAGGAAAATAGAACTAGAACTAGAAGGAAAATAGAAAAAAAGGAAAAGAAGGAAATGAGATGATGGGGATACAGAAAAATAAAGAAAATATCAAGAACAATTTTTTAAATCAACATTTTTCTTCTAGTCCAGTATATATATTAATTGAATAATAAGTAATACACTAGAGGGGTTAATATAAATATAGATTTAAAGTCCACATATATCTGCAACAGAAGATAAATGCTTACAAGCTATGAGAACGAAATTCTATTTTAGAGAATTGGAATGCTTCTACGTATGTTATTCTTAGTCATGTATGTTTAGTAATCATTCCAGTTCTTCTAAGCCAAGTATAGGCAAATGAATCCAGTTACTTCCAGAGTAATTAAGTTGGAATCTTGGGGACGTTTTCTCACACACTTTTGGTGGTAAGATAGGTTACATACTGAGGAAGTGAACTAAGTAATTACTTAAAGTCTTTATTATGAGCTTTATTTATCTACTCTGATAGTTTTAATCTAACTGGAAGATCCAAGTGACTTCAACAAGTTTGGAGATGACATGCTGGAGCCCCTTGCCCAAAACCATAACTTCTTCCTTTGGGTCACTAATGTCAACAAGTCCATAATTAGCAATGTACTGTGTTACCAAACTAAATCTGCTCACACAACAATCTTACTCAGGGCTGGCTTACCCTAAATATTAACAAAGTCTGCAATATACAAACAAATAGCTAAACATTTTCCTAGGTTGTACAGCTATTTCTCTGCTCATTAAGGTACTAAACAGAATAACTGAGCTGTTATTTATTATATTGGGAAAACTGGTCTGAATGGGTTAACGCAACCTTCAGCACTATCTAACCTCTTTTAGTAAAGGATTGAGATGAGTATTTCTCAGGGAGGAGTAAGCATGTTACCAGCAGCACCCATGACAATTTCAGGTAGTGCATAAACAAAGTAATTTTAATAGCTACATTAGAATGCTAATTAACCACCTCACCAAGTCTGTGATTACAATGGTATTACAGCTGAAAAGTCAAAGTGTATGAAAAATTTATGGAGTAAGACAGTAAATGTATGGGCAAAATCATAAAGGTAGTATGAAAATGAAGTTTTGGAAAGAGTGCTAAGAAAAAAAAAATAATTTTCAATAACACATCTTCCGGAATGACACCCAGACTGCCAATGCAGCCTGCTGGTCGTACACATTTCAGACAAGCTGCTGCCAAGGAAAGAAATGTTGTGTTTACTAACTCAAATAAGTAATTGAAAGCCTGTCAACCAGTCTTGTAAAATTCTGGTCCCTTACAGGTTTGGTTTCTACATGGTCTGTTCTTAGAAAGATACGGAAAGGGTATTGGTTAGGTGACACATAACTTTTAAAGGTTGGATGTCCAAAAGTAACTAACTAAAGTCTACTAAAATTAGCAAATGACATTTGTAAAGTAAAGTAAAGCACAAAGCTTTTATTCACCAACAATCTAAAAGTGAACTTTGAATTAATTCCCAAATTAGGAAAAATGAGAAAACTTTTAAAAAAAAAGACTAAGATCGCTGGATGATGGCTATCACAATAGATAACTAGACATACACACTGGGCATCGAATACACGTTCTTTCAGTTCCTACTGCTGTTATCTTCTTACATCCTTCCCAGTCACCATCAAAATTGCTCAACCTATTGTTCTGCCCAATAGCAACTCATATTTTGCTGTAAGAGACACACATATCACACCAAATACTAACCATGAAAGAAATCAGAGTGATATGATCTGCTTACAAATTATCTGCTCATGATTTGTCTAAGCATGAAAGCCCCATGATGCAGGCAGCAGTTAAACCAGCTCTCCATTCTCCTCTAAAACTAGCCAGAACACAGCATCAAATCCAGAAGGAGCAAACAATGTTAATCACATGACTATTTTTTAGTGTATCTTCATACTAGTTTACAAAAACAGGCTACAAGTTACAATGCCTGAGCTCTAGATACACAGATGAACACGCTGGGTAC